CCAGGTCCTCTGCTCAGCCCGGGCCTCTCTCTGTTCAGCCCAGGTCCTCTGCTCAGCCCAGGTCCTCTGCTCAGTCCCAGTCTCTGCTCAGCCCAGGTCCTCTGCTCAGCCCAGGTCCTCTGCTCAGTCCCAGTCTCTGCTCAGCCCAGGTCCTCTGCTTAGCCCGGGCCTCTGCTCAACCGGGGCCTCTGCTCAGTCCCAGTCTCTGCTCAGCCCAGGTCCTCTGCTCAGTCCCAGTCTCTGCTCAGTCCCAGTCTCTGCTCAGCCCAGGTCCTCTGCTCAGTCCCAGTCTCTGATCAGCCCAGGCCTCTGCTCAGTTCCAGCCCTCTCCTCAGCCTCCTATGCTTAGTCTGGGCCCTGTGCTCATCCCAGGCCTCTGCTCAGCCCCAGCCCTCTACTAAGCCCAGGCCCTGTGCTCAGCCCTAGCCCTCTAGCCAAGCCCCAGCCCTCTGCTAAGCCCAAGGCCCTCTACTCAGCCCAGGCCCATTGCTTAGCCCCAGCCCTCTGCTCAAACCCAGCCCTCTGGTTAGCCAGGGTCTCTGTTCAAGGCAGTCCCTCTGGTCAGCTGAGGCCTCTGCTCAGCCTCAGCCCTCCGGTCAGGTGGACCCTCCGCTCAGGCGAGCCCTCTACCCAGCTGGCTCCCTCTCCCTGGATGCACAGCCCTCACCCACCTCATCTCCAAAGCCCCCATTGCCACCTCTGGCTCCAGAGGCTCCTCCCATAAGAAGGCCGGTCTGTTCTGGCCGCTCTGATCCAGAGCGGCTCAGTTCTGGCTCCCCGGCTGGCCTGCACGGAGGAGGGGGTGCATGTCAGAGGTGGTCTGGTTTGGGGAGGGAAGTGTGGATGGGTGGGGTGGGAACTGGGGATGTGGGTGGGGAGATGGATCTGTGTTGCATGTGGATGGACTTGGAGATGGACCTGAGGGTGAGAACGGCATTGGGGTCAGGGATGCGGATAAGGTGGGAGGTGGGCAGGGATGAGGTGGGCACGGGGCGGAAAATGCCGTTGAGCTGGAGCAGCCGAGGTGGTCTGGGCTGCCTCTGGGACATGTGGGGCTGGGAACGGAGGCTGAGATTAGGGTTGGAGGAAGGCTTGGGGATAAGGTGCACATTGACTTTGCCGATGGTTAAAGGCTGAGTTGAGATGAGGCTGTAGAAGATGTTGGGGTTAGAGAAAAGAGCAAAAAGTTGAGAATGTGTTTAGAGCTGAGGTTAGCAGCAACATGGGTTTTGGGATGGTTATAGGTTGGAATTAAGGGTAGGGATAGAGCTGGTGCGGGTGAAGAGGAGGTGGGGGGAAGTGGGATGGTTATATGTTGGGTTGGAGACATAAAGACAACGGCTGTGATTGGAGGGGAGACTGGTTACACTGGGTTTGAGAACGGAGTTTAGAGATGGTAATGGCGGGATTTCAGGATGGGTAGAATTGACTACGAGGTTGGATGGGCTGGGATTGGAAGTAGCTGTGGGTTGGATGTAGGTTGCAACTGGGATTGGACTGAGGATCTGGTGCTGGAGAAGAGCTGGAGATGGGTTTGAGACAGGGGGTGGGTTAGACTTTGGAGGATGTTTGGAGTGAGGAAGAGACTGATGCCCACCCCGGGATTAGGTCCAGGGATGCCCGTGAACAGAAATGCTGAGAACAGTTACGAGTTTAGTTTGCGGATGTAGCTGGAGATGTCAGTGAGGTTGGAGATGGCGACAGGTTGGCTTGGGTTTGGGACTGAAGATGAGACGTGGAGATCAGCTGGGATGGAGCCGGGTTTGGAGCGAGGTTAGAGGGACAGAAAGGGCCACTGAGGTCAGCTGTTAGGGTGGGTGCAGGTCACTCACGGCGCTGCCTTCTCTCTCTGCCGGCAGCAGCCGGGGCGCCCCTTGCGTCTCATGCAGTAGAAGGCGGCCACTACCAGGAGCAGGAGGCCCACGCTGACTGCCACGGCCATGACCGCCACCCCGGCCTGTGCGGTCTGGGGGGCAACTGCAGGCACAGGGTAGAGGAAGGGGTCAGCCGGCAGGGCTCAGTCTACTCCACACTCCACCCCTGGCCACTGACCCCGCTGCGGACACTCACCAGCCCCAAAGTGGAAGACTTTCTGGCTGCTCCCTTGGCGGTTGGAGGCCTCACACGTGACACCGTCGCGGCTCAGGGCACTGGTCACCTTCAGGGTCAGGGAGCTGCTGACCCAGCCCTGCCCTCCGGGGACCGGCTCTGCTGGCTGAGGGGGCTGGGGTCAGGCGCGCACCCACAGGGCCAAGGGCTGGGGTGAGGGCAGTGGTGGACGAGCTGGGGGAGGCACAGTGCCTGGCTCAGGGGGTGCAGAGGGAGGACTTAGGGTGGGGAGGAGGGTCTCTTACGCTGCCACCCAGCTGGCTCCAGCTGATCTTGGGCTCTGGGTAGCCTCGGGCAGAGCAAGTCAGCGTGACTTCGTCCCCTTCCTGCCACGTGCCTTCGACTCTGGGATGAGCCTCCACTTCCCTCACCTCCGGTGACCCTGCAGGAGTCAAGAAAACCCAGTAAGAGAGAGAGAGAGACACACACACACAGAGTGGGATGGAATGAGAAGGAGAAAAAGGCCATGGAGAGAGACTCGAGTGGTGCAAGTAGCACTTGACTACCAGGCACAAGGCTGGCAAACAAAATGCACCAAGAAGCACCTAGGAAGAAAGGCCTGGCAATCTGCTTTCTGAAAGGTCGGAGTTTTGGAAACCTGAGGAGCAGCTCTAAACTGCACTCCTGGGATCTCTCCACAAGCGGGAACTGACTGGACAGCAAGTCAAATCAGAGAGGAAGGCGAGCTCTGGTGGCATAGTGGCAAGAAGCTGCACTGCAATCCCAGAGATGTGAGGTTTGAATCCACCAGATGCTATGCTGAAGAAGGAGGAACAATCTCCTCCTGTACCAGTCAGATCTGATTTGACGGTACACACATTAAAAGAAAAAAAAATCAGAGAGGAAGGCAGAGGGCTCAGCTGGGCGCATGCTCTGCCTGTCCTCATCCCCCACGCCCCCCCATCCAGCGCTGCTCCCCCAGTGCCAAACCTTGGACCAGCAGTTTGAAGCTCTGCGTGCGGCTCAGGAGGGGCACGGTGGACATGGAGGCCTCACAGATGTAGACACCGGCGGAGTCGAAGGTGACGGAGCTGAGGGAGAGTACGGGGCCATCCCTAAGGAGTGTAGAGTCCTGCGGAGGGAGAGGCAGGGGCAGGAGAGAGGAGGTGAGGGCTTGGAGAAGCGGAGAGGGTGCAAGCTGGACGTGCACCGACGGGCCGGGGCTTTGCCACTCACCTTGGTCCAGCGCAAGGAAGGGGTGGGCAGCCCTCGCACGAAGCAGTCCACATTTGTACTATTGCCCAGAGACAAGACAAGTTTCTCGCCCACACTGAGCTCCAGGGGGTCCAGGTCTGGAGGGAGGACAGACTGCCGGTCACATTTCCAAACTCCTACCCATGCTGTTCAGGGCTCTCTGGGCAGTCAGGGTTATAGGCATTAATGCACACCCTCAAAGCAGAATAAACGCACCAGTGGTTTAGGGGTAAGGAGTTGCGCTGCCAACCTAAAGGCAAGTGGTTCGAATCCACTAGCTGCTTTGTGGGGGGAAAAATGGGCAATCCCCTCCTTTGTGATTAACTGTCTCTGAAAACCCACTGGAGGCTTGGCTAGGGGTCAGTTCTGACCAGGCGGTATACGAAAATACAACAAGAAGTACCTACAGCTTTCACTGAGGATTACATCTCAACATCAAAAAACCCAAAATCCTCACCAACTGTCCAAAAGGCAACCGTGATAGGTGGAGAAAAGACAGAGGTTGCCAACAATTTTATTGTGGTTGGATCCACCATCAACACTCATGATAGCAACAGCCACGAAATCAAAAGATACGTTGCATTGGGAAATGTGCTGTCAAGGACCTCTTTTCAGTGTTGACGAGCAGGGATATCAGTGTAAAGACTAAGGTGCACCTGACCTAAGCCATAATATTTTCAATTACTTCCTATGCATCTATGCATAAGGGAAACTAAAGAAGAATTGATGCCTTTGAGTTGTGGTGTTGATAAAGAATATGGAATAACCCATGGGGCTGCATAGTGGAGTGGACTTGAGGGGAGGGATTGTAGAACAACGAAAGAATTTTACTTTTCAAAGAGAAGAACGAACTGGAGGGGAGGGGTGGGGCAGGGAGAAAAGTGCAACAATGAATGAATGGAAATCCAAAATCTCTGTAAATTTTCACTAAAATTAATAATAATAATAAAAAATGTAAAAAATTTTAAATTATTTTTTAAAAAAATAATAAAAAATTTTTTAAACAAGAAATAACCCATGGACTGTTAAAAAGAGCAACTCTGTCTTGGAGGAAATACAGCTAGAATGCTCCTCTGAGGTAAGGATGGAGAAAGATCACCTCACATACTTCAGGCATGTCATCAGGAAGAACCTGTCCTTGGAAAAGGACATGATGCTGGGAAAAGTGGAAGATCAGAGAAAGAGAGGAGGACATTCAACAAGATGGACTTGTTATGGTGACTGGAACCATGGCTCCAGCATGGCCAAGAGGGTGAGGATGGGCAAGGGTCAGATCTCCTGTTCGTAAGGTCACTGTGAGCGGTATGTTGGCTCGAGGGTGCCTGACACAATCACCTAAGGAGCTCAGATGCCTTCGTCCCTAATAACCAAAAGGTCAAGAATTCCAGCCACTCAAGAGGGTGAGAGATGAGTAGCGTCCTTTCAAAAAGGTTCACCGAGAGGCAGAAGCCAGAGCAAGCATCGTTATGTCCGGGAATTTAGTCTAAGGTACTGGGGAGCCACTGCAGGATTTTCAGCAAAGGAGAGGGCAGCCCCAATGTACATTTGGAGAAAATGCCTCTGCCCATAGTCCTAACTTTCAGCTAAACAATGTTACCACGTACAATGTTGTCATGTATCCACCATCAGAACTGACTCACAGCTGATTCTCCAGTGAGTTTCAGAGGCAGTAAACAGTCCAGGAGATTTCCATCTTTCTCCCACAGATCAGCTGATGGATTCAAACCACGCACCTCTGGGTTGCCAGAGTAACTCTTCACCACCGGCCCAACAGAGCTCCCTCAGCTGAACAACCGACAGACCTATCATCTGAGATACTCACTCCTTAGAAGAATGAAACCATTTCAGATATAAGCCCAGAAGGCAGAAGAGGGGGTGGGGGGTGGAGGAATGGGAACAGGTGAGCACAAGGAGGAAGTGGGAGGGGTGTTTACCTTGGGGGGCCTGCTCGGATGTGGGAATTTTTGAAAGGGAAATTAATCTACTTTGTAAAACTTTCACCCTAATCGTGATGAGAAGAGACTTCTCTGGCTACCGAGCAGAGGATGCACCGAAACAGGCAAGAGGGGCAGCAGCGAGACCCGTGGGGAGACCCGTGGGGAGACCCGTGGGGAGGTGACTGCAGGGGCCTGCAGAGAGAGTAGAGAAGAGGAGGAGGAGGAAGAGAGGAGGGTTGCCTCTGCAGGTAGAGCAGACGCTCCTTGAGGGCAGGATACGTGTGGGATGAACTGGCAGACAATCAGGCTTTACTTGGTTGGAGCAATCGGATGTGTGTCGAGACTGGCTGGGGAACGCTTAACACCCTGGTTTACAATCCCCTGATTTACCCAAAGGGCTGAGGTTGGTCTGTCTGGGATGAGTTGGGCTCTGGGGGCTTAGATGAGAGAAAGGCGAATTAATGGGGAGAAAGAAAGGGAGCTTTTGACCAACTGGGCTCAAATCCACTGCGGACGCGTCAAGTCCAACTCACAGGGAGTTGTGATTCCCGGACTGTAAATCTTTATGGGATGAGACTGCCCAGCTTCCCCCATGAGCCACTGCTAGATCCGAACCAGCCACCTGCTGGTCAGCAGCTGGACCATCATGCATTACGCTGTCAGAGTTCCTTAACTGTTGTTGTTAAGTACCCTTCAGAAGCCTGCGACTCATAGTGACCTGACCAACAACGGATCTGAACCCTGCCCTATCCTGTACCATCCTCACCATCTCTGACGCATGACAGGGAAGGTTTAAAAAGGCTACTGAGGGGAGCTCTGGTGGCCTAGTGGCAAGAAGCTGCACTGCAATCCCAGAGGTGTGCAGTTCGAATCCACCAGATGCTCTGCTGGAGAAATGAGGGACACTCTCCTCCTGTACCAGTCAGATCTGATTTAATGATACACTATTTAAATAATAAAATTTTAATTTTTTTTTAAAAAGGCTTCTGATTAGTTACTAGTCAGGTGAAACCACAAATACTAGAATCCAGTAGAGAAAGGCGTGACAAAATAATTTTGTTAATATGCAGATAATCTATGAACTGTTACAAGTAAGCCGTTCAGGACTGCATTTATCACAGCATTATCCTCTGGTTAGGGAGCTCCGGTGGCGTAGTCCGTAAAGAGCTGCGCTACGAGCCGAAAGGCCATGCCAGTCTGGCAGTTCAAACCCACCAGCAGGCTCCAAGGGAGAAAGATGGGCCACCTCCTCCTGTGCGATTTACAGCCCCCACCAAACCCTCTGGAGCGTCAGCTAAGCTGGTTCTGGCTGGGCCACAATGACTATTCCACTATTAAAATGGAGAAGGTGGTTAAACTTGATCACCTAGGATTCTGCATGGTCTCTACAGGAGGAAGTCCAGGGCAGGCATGACTCCCTGAATGGCATTACCCTGTTGAGGCCATGTCCCCAACTTCTTGCCCAGAAAGCCCCCCTGCTAGCACATTCTCTCGAACGCGCACTCGGCCCTGTCTTGGGGAGCCTCTGTATTTGCTGTTCCCTCTGCCAGGAAGGCGCTCCTTCCAGTTCCTCACATTCCTGACTGCTTCCCGTTCTTTGCTGGCTTGTTCACATGTCCCCTTCTCAGAAAGGACCCCCTGGCCACCTGTTGTGGAGAGCCAGCTGTCTCCTCCAGGGTTTACTCCCCCAGCTGCCAAGAAGAAGGCTGTCAGCTGTCAGCTCTCTCTGTGAACGGCCACAGCTGCAGAGAGCCCCCTGGGCTCAGGTCATCCCGCTGCCAGGGGCAACCCACACCCAGTGGTGGGTTAGTATGAGGAGACAAAGGTCCTGCTTCATGGTCCAACTCCAAAGGACCGTATCAGCTCCAAAGTTCCCTGTGGGGACAGCTGAGGCCTTGCTATACAAGGGGCATCACCGCCTCCCTTCTCTCTCTCTGCCCCTCCAGTGCTTTCACCACCCCGGACAAATGATAACTCCATGAACGTGGTGGCTGTGGTTGAACTGGTTCCAACTCCCATGCACCGAACTCACAGCAACCTGACTCACGGCCACCTTATATATAACAGAAGAAAACATTGCCGGATCACATACCATGAAGGAAATAACAAGTTATTAAAAACTCAGGGGAAAAAAGATCAATATGGCTAACAGAACAAAAACAAATCTACTGCGATCGAGTTGATTCCAACTCAGCAACCCTGGAGGATGGAGCAGAACTGCCCCATCTGGTTTCCACGACTATAAATCTTCACAAGAATGTGATCACTGTAGCATGTGATCAAGAACCAATGGCACTGAAGGAAGAAGTAAGTATGAAAAAACAGGGCTCCAGGAATTGATTCAATACCATCTGAGATGTTTCAAGAAATGAAATGTTGGGGAGCTCTGGTGGCCTAGTGGCAAGAAGCTGCATGCAATCCCAGAGGTGTGCAGTTTGAATTCACCAGATGCTCTGCTGGAGAAGGAGGGGCAATCTCCTCCTGTACCAGTCAGATCTGATTTGATGGTACACACACACACAAAATAATAA